ATTTGATTTATTGGAAACGGGCACCAAAGCTTTCTTTTACTTCGAAAACTCTGTGTTCAGGTGGTGGGATGACTAAGAGTGAATCAGAGCCACTGAGTGGGTGACTTTGCCTTCCTGCTCATTTAGTTTCAGGTGAAGGAATATTTCTGTGTTTTATTATTTTGTTTTGTTTATGAACGCAGTGAGCAAAAGGTTTCTCCATTTAAATGTATGAAGTGTATGAATTTATATTTAATCTTCCACTGATTATATATCATCACACAGATTCTGATGTATTTCTCAGTGATCATAGGTGGTTTTTCTTTAAGGTGGTCTTTGAGTACTTCACCTTAGAGAGGCCGTCCTCACATGTCTGGATGCGGGAAAGGAGGTTCAGCTGGTCGGGGTCCGGGCCCGGGCATGAGGGAGTGGCTGCCCGATTCTGGAAGTCAGTGTCCGGCTGAACCTCCACCTGAACCTCCTCCTCTGCCGCCGTGAGATCAGGGCTCCAATAACCCGAAGAGGAGTCCCTCCACCGGGTCTTCACCTCCCGGAGATTCAGGTGTTTCAGCAAGGCGAGGAGCAGCGAGTGCAGGGCGCCGAAGTTCACGGAGGACTTCTGGGGGGTCCCGATGGATAGGTTCAGCAGGTCGTACAGACTCACCTCCTCCGACATGTTTGACGGACCGTTAAACCGTTACCGTGAAGCTAACGTTAGCTCAAACTTCACCCTTAGCTACTCAAGACCCGGTATTTATAATAAAAACAATTACAAGTGTCAGTGGTCTTTCCCTAGAGTCGGTTTTGCGGTGTTTCAGTCAGACATCCCACCAGCGGCGGTAATCTCGGGTTTGTGCTGGAATCTAGTCACGTTCAACAGAAAACAGCAGCTCTCACTTAACAAGCTAGCCATATTAGCCGGATGCACAAACGCTGACCTCTCAAAATAAAGTTTGAATGCAAACTAAAACCCGTATTGTGGAAACAAAAATCTTAATCATGCTAACATGACTTATTGTATTATATAAATATGCAGATTAGCGCCACGTCGTTCGGCTCTGTTGTGAATCTTGCCAGCAATATTTACCAGTTATACTTTTATTGTTAAGACGGTAACCGGATGTGGTGTTGACCGTTTACTCTTACTTGACGTCGCGTCGCGCGGCAGTCCCACGTTGGAAAGCTCGTAGCGTTGATTGTTGCCAGGCAACAAGCGGCCCTAAGGCTGTGTTGAGGAAAAGCGGATTTCTGAGAGCTCTGTAATGGAAACGAAAGCACGTCCGGGACTATTTTAGGATGAGTTAATTTTTTTAAATCGTTTTTAGTTTACACTTCACTTTTATCTTCTGTTTCCAGCTTCACTTCGCTTCCACGGAGAAACTGATTGTTGAGTTTTTGGTTTGTTTAAAATGAGCTTTAATCACTTGCATCAGGTTTTCGTATTCTTTTATGTGGCATGGGTAGGATTTGTCAGGGGAGCTATTTAATGAGTATCATAATAAAATGAACAATAAAAGGACATATTTGAAGGCAAATAACTCGCAGTCAGTCTCTATAAATAGAGAAGAAAAACACAGACTCACATCGTCACCGTCTGCTCTGAAATCACTGTAAAAATCATTCATATCACAGAGCTGATACAGCTCACAGATATCTTATTCTTTTAGGTTTTTTTCTTGAGTTTCAGTTTCCATCACCCTTGGAAACACATCAGCTCTCGTGCTTACATTGCACAGCCTGTTTTATCAGATTTGTAGTTTCTCTGTAAGCACTTTGCGATGCTGGTTTTGACATGTCATACAAATAAACTTTAAAACTACTTAAGAAAGGAACTTAAACAGTTTAATGTTTCTTCATATTAAACAGTCCAGAGATCCAGATGAGTGAGTTAGCTGAGGTGAAGCCTCAGAGCCCAGAACAGTTTGTGTATCAGGCAGTAAGCATGATTATTGCTGCTGCAGAGATTTAACACAGGAGTCTGTGGGGTCTGACTTACTGCTGGAGCCTCCTGTGGACATTAGAGGAACTTCTCTTATTTTATTTTATTTTTTTGTTTCACACATGGTACAGCAGTAATTCATTTCCCATACACAACCTTCCTTTCAATTAAAGTAACGCTGTTTCCATGCATGAAAAGGAGCAGGACGAAGAATA